AGAAATTCAGTCAGGAGTAGTGTGTTTTTACAGTAGCCATGGTACATATATATGTGATCTGTAAATTCCTCAACCCTGTAGGGCCAGACAAGGGATAAGAAAAGGAAATATTAATCCTACATTACTTAACCTAATCTTAGGAAAGAGCTGTCTCTTGTATGTTACAAACCATACTACTGAGCATCACAGAAGAGCCGTTCTGTTGGTGAGTCTTCACATGTAAGCTGACATCTGGTCCTCACATCCTTCATTGTGACCTTGGCTGGGGTCACCCCAGTAAGATAACACCTACACTGTGTTGAAATGGCTCCTGAACTGTATATGGACTATTTCCTTCTCATGAGGCACAGATATTATACTGGTTGTGATTATTTTACCTTCCTGATGCTTGAATTTAGTGCCCTCACTGGGTTCAAGCTATAATAATTTTGGATGTGTATTTGCATGTCTTGTTTTGCATATTGCATTTGCATTAAGTTGTTTGTTTCCATTTAAAACACATGCACTCATTTCCTACTGTACAGCAATTCTGTTCAAAAACTTTACAAGGTAGCAGATATACAAAAAGCCTCATTTCTTCCTCTTTGACAAAAAAAAGCCGTATCTTCTTCAAGATCATTGGGTAATATTCAGGTATTCCACACAAAACGTAGGAAAAGAAGCAGCTTACCTGTAGAGTGAAGAATTTGTTGGCAAAGGACTGATTTTTATCAGCTTGTGACAATTCCTTTTGACCTCTTCTTTGGGAATAAAAGAAATATATTTCCATAGAGAAATATATTCTGTTGTAACCACTACCCTTTACACAGTGTACACAGGAGATAATAAAACTTGCCTGGGAAAGATTTTTTTGTTCCTTTTTGCACAGGCACAAATACGTACAGAGGGTTGGAATGGATAACAACCTTTTCTTGTACCATTATCTCACTTCCAAAAGTAAGGTGAATTTGGGCCTAGTGATCTTTCTCTTTTGACATGAAACTGCTGCTGAACACAGAGCTTTGATGCTCTTCAAAAGTTAACAGTTAATGGATTGTGAGAGAGAAGAAAAAAGAAGTTCTTTCCATATGTTTCACTTAATCTTCAAATAATGCAAAAAAAATGACAGAACCACCACAAAATTGCATTAGGAGAAACCAAATAAAAGGAAGGGGAAAAAATGCAAATAAAGGTGATAAAAAGTTGACATAAATAAACAAAATATTCAGAGCAATTAATTTAAAAATATAAAAGCTAAATGAAAAATAGTTACCGAACAAGAAAAGAAATATCTCAAGTGGCCAAACAACATTTCAGATTGTGGACTGTCAGTATTTGTTTCTGCAAAGCTCAAGCAGTAAGCATGAGCATTGTGCAAAGGATCTGCTTCTACTGGAACTAAATTATAAAAGTTCAAGCTCTGGAATTGGAGGAACATGGAGGGTTCAAGCTTTCAGCCTTTCTCTGTGCTTCTGGCACTTTCAGTAAAGTTATATAACAGACCTTCCCCAAGTTATGAGCTTGTACATGTCTTTCTTAGCAGGAATTTTTTATTTGCTAAATGCGAGCATTTTGGAGGAGAAAACGTTTTTTTCCCCACAAACCACTACAGTTCCCAGGGCCCTTGCAAGTTCCTCTGATGGCACTTTCGTTCTGCATAGGAAGCCATCTATTCAGTGCTCCTTTTGTGGGCCATATTCATTGATGCCCTTAGAACAGTCTCAAATGGAAATATAAAGTAAGTTTTAAACTGGCTCCCTCTCCACACAGAAATCGTCAATTGGTGTTGAAGGAGTTTAATGCTTTATACTGCAGAAAGAAACATAAAATCCTGGGTACTAAGGTGGAGGTCTGAAGTGATTTCTAAGTGAAGAGGGTTATGTGTGAGCAAAATAAATTCCTCTCTTTACTACAGATCTGGGAAGAGCTCATCGAAGCGTGCCACAACACTGAGGGCTCTGCCCTCAACAGGGAGAGGCATATTTCCATTCCCTTCCCAAGGCACAGTCAGTTGCAGGCAGTCATTCAACAACTATTTGATAGTTGGTAAAATATTTACCAACTAATTGATAAACCAGGGCTGTTGCCATGGTGTATCTGAAATATGCCAGTATCTTTTCCCAGTCCATCATTCACTTCTTACAGGGGTATATATATCTCCACTGTAATGTATCCCCCTTTTCTTTTTTCTGGGAGAAGGTAAAGAAGGTAGCTGTATGAATCTCTTATTTTTCACAAGCAAGATCTAGTGCTTAAAGACTCTGTTTTTTTTCAGGCAGCTACTTAGAAGACTGCAACAGCTGTTTTTTTGTTGCTGGTGAGTTTTTTTTTGTTGTTGGGTTGTTTTTTTTTTAATAGGTGAGGACTGAAAAAATCATGCAGTTTACTAATTGCATGTGTACCTCCTCCAGCCTATCCTTTCTGGCAGATAATGTTCTGACACTTCCAGATACTGGCTGGGAGAAAAATAAAGCATTGCAATAGGAAAGGTAAAAGTGCAGCTCATTTTCTATTTTCCACTGTGTTGTTTTGGGGTTAAAAACTCCAGGAACTTAGAAAAATAGAGGGGCTTTTTGTTTGTTTGTTTTAATAGTGGTGTTTTACAGGACCCTTGGTGTGAAGAAGGCAAGTCATGAGAATATGGGAATGGTCTCTTAGGTCTGGCTGGTATAGCACTGAACTGCCACTACTCAAAAGAAAAAAAGTTGTTTTCATCTCCTTAAAAAGGTAAAGCACAGATCTTATTATTGGCAATGACCACCAGCAGCACTTCTCGGAGGGATGCTGTAGTGCTGTCCTCCACACTGGTGTCAGTACCGCTCCTGCAGGGAGCTCCCCTGCATCGTTCAGATCTGTAGAGTCACACAGCTCCTGGGGTGAAACTCCGGTCTACCGGGACCTGCTAGCAACCGCTTGCTGGGTATTTACTGAGACACTATGCCCCCCCTTATCTTTTTTTTAATACAGTAGTTGCATTACTGAAATAAAATGTAATACAGTTTCTTATAGTACAGATGGTGAGGGGAGGAGGTCTCCTGTTTTCAGTTCTCTTCCCTGAGGATCTTTCCTTTGACATTAAAATAAGACCATCTTACTTCGCCTCCATTTGCCCCAAAAGTACCCTCTTAATGTCAGAGAATGAATTCACCTCTCCAGACAGGGTATTCAGGTTCAAAATCTTTTATGAACTCCACATCGAAGCAGTGAGTAAGCCACAGCAGCCTTAGTGGTTATGTGAAACACCATTTCATGTAGACAAAAAAAGGGTACTCCTGAGGTTACATTTCAAAAAGCGCAAGAGAGGACTCAGAAGCATTATAATCAACCAGTCCAGCTGCAAAGCAATGCCGTTTAAGACTACTTACACTGTAACCAATGCAGACATCTGTGACACATACAAGGTATAAATGTACTAATCAGGATATAATTATCGTTGGCTTGCCTTGAACCTGAATATAAGTGCAACCAACAGTAGTATAACTGTATTTCATAGCATTGTGATGGCATAACTAGATACAACTTTTATAAGTATATAAGCAATGCAATCACTAAAGGGACAAACAAAGATAGTAGAAGGCACCCAAGCAACAAAAATCTGGCAGGCAGCAGACAAGATAAGCACAAGTGACTGCAAATAGACAAGACATCATCCAAAGATGGAAGAATGGCAAGAAAAAGAAAAAAAGACAAATGGTGTTGGTGGGGAGGCAATAGAATAAAAGCGTGAGGCATAGACAAGGAAAGTTGGAGAAGGAGGAAGACGGCCCACTTTGATCTTGAATTCTCTTCTTCAGGAGTTCTCACACCTGACTTTGGCAACTGAGAACCATCAAAGACTGTAACCAACAATGCTAACTTTGCAGCATCAGCTCTGGGGTACTGTACACTTAGAGCTAACTTTGAATTGATTGTTAAAGACCAAGAGTTTTGTATATGTAATGATGATGATCAACATTATGTAAGATTCAACCATTAGCAAGAAGTGAGCTGCTAATCAATAAATTCAGTAATGTTTAATTTTACAGTGTAAAACTGACCTAATTTGTCAGTCTTCTAAACACTCCCATCACAGCCATCTCTGATTCCCTCACTGACATAAATGCTTTTAGTTGCAACAGCTTAGTCACTAGGAAGTGGTCCTTGCAAATATTAGAGTCAGCTCAATGGGAGATAGACTGAACCCCAAGAGAAGGAACTTACCAGTGGATGAGCGAGAGGAGGAGGTGCTAAGGGAGTTTACTCCTTTGCCACATGAGTACATGGTACAAATCAAGGCAGCTCTGTGGCATCACTTGTTAAGTCTGCACCTTGCTTAGTGCACAGGTGGCACCAAGTAAACCTCTTTGACACTGTTTTTGGTGTGAAAGCAAGGCACTTGGAGAAAAAGTAGCTATAGGCAGTATGACAAAACAACACCAATCAGACAAGGCCTTTAAGGATTTTTTTTGGGGGGGGCAGAGAAGAATAGCAAATGAGAATGCACTTTAATAACAACCAGTATAAATGAGGGCACTTGCACAACAGTCTGTTACTGAACAAGAAATAGAACTGAGCCTTAGTCAATAACCTGTGAGGAGGAATGCTCATATGATAGGAACAGATACACATTTTCTTAAGTTTACATCACACTTTCTTTCTGTATTTCCATGCTATTACCCAGAAAATCTACTGCATTAAAAGTAATCCATCTTACTATCAGGAAAATATAAATGTGTAAAAGTTACCATGCAAAATAAATACTCCTATTCACCCAAAATGTAATACAGTACAAAAAGAATGACTACTCATTTGAAAAAAGTTGTCTGCCTCCCAGCACTACTATTCTAAGCCATTTATTGATTCATCATTATCTTCTGAGAAGACTATTAAGTCTTCCTAGTGGGCCCCTTCTGCATAAATGACAAATCTTCACTGTACTGCTTGTTGTTTTTTTCTCTAAGACCTGACTGCAATTGCACGTCACTGTATTTCCACTAAGTATTTTCTGCTTTAAATTATTTCATGGGCTACGTCAATCCTACCTAACGTTGTCATGCCTTTGAATGTAAATCTTGTGGAAAATCCTTTCAGGAGGCTTCAGGAAATCTTCCTTCATTTCCATTGCAACATTCCTGGGCAAAAGACTCATCAAGAGACGTTCCTAAAAGAAAACGTAAACAACATCAGTTTTGTGGTATAGTGTGTGACCATTATTCAAAAGTTTTAAACTAGCAAACTAGACAATCTTTTCCTAATCTAGTGTGCTCCCTGAGAATTTCCACTGCATAAATAGTATGAACCATTTCTCTCAAATTTCTGCAGCCTGTGTGGGTGTCTTTTTTAAGTCATCTGCACTAACAAAAAAAAAAAAAAATCAAAAAACTATACAGAAAGGGAAAAGCCAGCTTCAAGAGCAGATAATTGTCCATAATTTTCATTAACATCACAATGCTAATAATAACAACTTACTGTATTGTTGGTAGCATTTATCTGTCTGGGAAAGACTTCCCAGGATCATTTCCTATCCTTTTGTGTGTCCTATTTCTGAATCTAATGAAAGTGTTACATTACAAGGACTATGACAGCTGGTTATTAAACAGCAAGAGTGGATAATAGATTTATCCACAGTCTGAACCAGCAGAACAGTAAGAAAGGTACAGTTTTAATGGCATCTTATCCAGTGTGGCAATGTCTGTTCCAGCCAGCTCAGTAATGGAATGCATCAGTACAAACCCCTGGTTAAACACATCTCTTCTTGCTATATCCACAGAGAAATTTTTAGCATGGGTTACTGATCTGCATAAAAAGGACCTCTAACATTTTGGATCTTGTCAGTGTTGACTATAAAGGCCTATGTAGTCTTTCTACATATTCTGGCCCATTCACAGGTACCACCTGGAAAACTTGCAGTAGGTGTTCTTAGGTGTTGTAAGGTGTCCTTAGATACCTACTTAAGTTCTGTTTTCACACAGAAAACACTTGCCATTTAAAATGCAGTTCCAAGCTTATCCATTAGACCTGCTAGCTTCAGTCATAGCAACAGTCTGAATGAATTCACATAACCACATCCGATCTGATTAAGGAATCCCAGGTTTCAGAGAACACGGGGAAAGGCTCGAGCAAGGAAGAGGTACCCTTGGTGGAAGAGGATCAGGTCAGGGAATACTTAAGCAAACTGGACATACATAAGTCCATGTATGCGTCCTGATGGGACGCACCCACAAGCACTGAGGGAGCTGGCAGACGTCACTGCAAGGCCACTCTCAATAATCTTTGATCAAACATGGTGACTGTGAGAAGTGCCTGAAGACTGGAGGAAAGACAATGTCACTCCTATCTTCAAGAAGGACAAGAAGGAGGACCCAGGGAACTACAGGCCAGTCAGTTTCACCTTGACTCCTGGAAAAGTGATGGAGCAGCTCATCCTGGAAACCAGGGCGGTTGGACCAGATGACGTCCAGAGTTCCCTTCCTACCTCAACTATTCTGTGATTCTGTTATCTGATGATCGAGAGCCACCATAATGGCAGCTGCGAGACATCACAGAAGTGCAGATCTTGGGCAAACCACATCTTCCTTTTATTTAAATGACATTAACTAAATAAGGAGCAACAATTAACACTGAGAAGAGGGTATCAGCACAGACAAGTGCTTTGTGTTGCTCACATGCACACATTCACCAGCCAAAACTGCCAAATAATATTCAAAGTGTTTCTAATTTTACCGTTTCTTCTGGAAGAAGACACATTGAATATTTATGTCACCAAGGAATAAGTTAAACTTTGCAGAACTGTCCTGGTACTTACTTTAGACTAAAGTTCCTTCATATGTTTGTGGCAGTTCATGTGAACTTAAGGTTAATGACCATTAACTATTAACTATTTCTGATTGTTCTCATATGAATACTAAAAATATTGCAAAGAATATGATGGAATTAAATATTTGTTAACAGTTTATGCATATATCAATTTCAGATTAACCAAACAGTCTCATAGCTTGGTAGAAAATGGTTAATTACTATAATTTTTATGTTAAGTTAATTAAGTATGCTTATATCTCCACAGCAGAATTATATTTGGGTAACCCAAAATTTGGGTTAAAATCCAAACCAAATAGTTTTGTCAACAATGGATCTTATGAAGCTCTGTTGCCACTACTTGTGTCTTGCAGTTGATTTACTGTTTTAACTGAAATATACTGAGGTTGCAAAATGAGCTGACCACCTATCAGACGATGGAGAATCCACACAAGAGAGAAGTTTGGACTGATGGTTAAATTCTCTGGTGCTTAAGATGGTATAAACTCTAAAGGATGCTGGAATTTCATAAGTATTATCCTGGATGCCAATTTTATGATGTCTGATAAGGACTAAATGTTCACTGTAGCTTCTCTTTAAGTAAGCATATTAAACAAGATCTTTGCCATTTTGCTGAAATGGATAAGTAAATTCCAAGGCTGCTAAGGAGAAAGAGTGGGATTTCAGCTTCTGTTTCCTAGAAAGTCAGACTAAAACAAACAGACAAATAACCACACAAAAATTATACTGACAGACTCTCACAGAGACCAACACTGACTGAATAGTTCTTCTATGGCCTGTAAACACAATTACAATACAAGATGTGAATAAAAAACTCACAGACAACTTCTTCAGTGCATGGCAAATAGCACAGAAGCCAGGGAAGTTAATAACAATCATTACTGTGAAGGTAGCATTGGAGAGCTGCAGGATGCAGCACTTGACAGTGTTGAAACCTGCAGATGTCAGATGTGTTAAGGAAGGCTACAAAAATGGTGATTCCTATACACGTTAGCTTGACTATTACAAGACCTGAAGGGAGCTTATGAAAATCCTATATCAAATTGTTGTGGCTTTTTTTTTTCATTAGAAAAAAAAAAAAAAAAAAAAAAAAAAAAAAAAAAAAAGGATCACTGAGGAAGAATTGTAGAGTCTTTACAAAGAGGGTTAGCAGCCTCAGACTCACCAAGCGAGGAAAGACTCAATTATGGCTTTCTCAAAGGGCAGCCACTTCTGACCTTTCAGGCCAAGAAGGGAAGTGGCATCACGGCTGTAAAGAATTGTCACTGCAGGAGAGCCTGGAAAATGTAAGAAACAACCCCACAATGGAAAGTATTGAAGCACTGAAAATAAATGAAAGACAGCATCTAGCTCTCTAGAAAAAATATAAGAAAAGTCTCTTTTATTTTGGGCAAAATCTCATCTGTCAAGCAAAGCAGTATTGCCCTTCAGATCAGCCTAAGGAATGATCGAGGACTCAGGTTTGGAGCTGCAAGAGTGAATTCATGTATGCCAAATACAGCTGTTGGAAGGTTTGGGAAAGGGCTCCGCCTGGATCTCTATTCAGCAAGTCCTACCATCGTTGTCTGATTTTTTTCATTTGCTCCTGTACAGCTGATCTAATTATAAAAATAATCTGAAAACCAGATTAAAAGGAAAACTAGATGTGCATGGCTGCATACTGCATTTAATGGAACAAGTGACAGCATTGAAGCAAGGCCAGTCATATTTGCGGTGACATTCACGCTTGAGTGGTTGTTGCCTCTGACGGGGACGGGTGGTGACAGAAAAAAATTGAGAGTGAGACAGGGAGCACTAATCAATTAGCAACAACTTTGACTAGAATAAAACAACACTCATGCTGCAGACCTTCTTACTGGTGACAAATGATGTTGTATTGAGGTAGCCTCAACATCTGGCATATTCCAAAACACAGGGCCTAGTAGAGAGAAAAATGTTTCCACTTTTTCACCTTTCTCACTGATCCACAATGCTGTTTAGGCTTATTACAGCTGGTTTCTACCCAGAAAAGTAAATCTTGGCCCTGTGAACAACTTATGCTATTTTAGGAATTTGTACTCTCTTCTTCTCCTGCTGTAAATCTTAACTTAGCATTAACATGGTCAAAAGTGAAATCGCATGCTGAAAAAAAAGATTCTTTTCAGAGATTGTAATTGTCTGTCAATGATTTTGCATTCCCTGCACAAATCTCACTAAGAGAAGAAAATGATGGTGGAAGACCTATATCTCCTTCATTCACAGCATTTTTCATTAAACTTGTATTTTAAATTGCCAGTCCTAGCCTGGGATTTGGAATGCCAAACTGGGCTGCCTCTGCCAACTGTCTTATCCTCATTAATGAGGATTTCTGCACCATTAATGAAGACTTAGTTAATTTTGAAAGGGACACTCAATTTAGAAAAATATCCAGATTTCTTTCTCCCACAGAAATGAAGCAGTACTAGAAATAAGAGAAGGAACAAACATTCATCTGGCTCCAAGGCAAGTCAAAATGTGCATACCAAGCCAATTAGGAATTGCTCAGTGTTACCTTGGCACTATTCAACAACTAGCACCATTATGCACATGACAAAGAAGGAAAATATGCAAAAACAAAGAAATGGGAAAAAAAAAAGTTTCCCATTGTTAATGGCCAAAAAGACTCTATATTACTACTTGTTGTTTGGAACATTCTCAACCCTAATTGCAAGTACAAGCTCCTGTACTGCAATTCTCACGCCAAGTTGGACCTGGGGAAAAACTTTAATAGTCTTGCAGTTACTTAGGACGTGGCTAGACAAAGCCACAGTTGACCAGACCCGGTGTTGCTGGCAGTCCTGCTTTGAGGGGGTGGTTGGACTGGATGATCTCCAGAGGTCCCTTCTGACTGTTGTGTACCAAGAGGGACAACAGCACAAGGATCAGGAGTGGAGAGCACCTGTGGCTTCCTCAGGAGGCCTGAAGGCATTCTGCCACCTTACCATACACAAGTGTGGCTTCTAAAATAGCAGGGGAGCTCAAGGCTCAGCACCCTCTAGCAGTAGTGTGATTTCTCTTTCCTGAGAGGGGAAGTGGAAAAAAGCAAGCAGACAACAGAGACTGTTGAAGCAAGTTTCCATCATCTGCACACTCTGTTCTGCCCCAACACTCTCTTCAGCTTTCTCCAATTTGGAGGCTTCTCAGCACAACTCCCTCTCCCATCCCCATAGCTGGCCTGGACAGCTTCTCCCACCCACAACCCAGCTCTGCTTTTATGGGAGTCCCCAGTGCATGTTCCTAATAAATTTATTGCGCCTGTCTCCAAATGAAGATGCCCTTCCCCTCCCATTTTGAATATCTTTCTTCTTTTACTGCTTCTTCCAAATG